CCCCAACCTTCTTCCTTTGCCACCTTCTCCTCTTCATTTTCTTGTTGTTGCCCAAAGAGGAGGGCCTCCCCTTCTTATTTTATCTATTAGCTATTATACATGTCTGGTTTGTTTGCTTATGGTTCAGATTTTTGTGTTTGAGAATTCTGTCCGGCTTATCGTCGGCGGCTGCTTTTCTTTATAGGCTTGTATCTGAAGGCAAGAAAGTGCTCTAGTTGTAACTCGCTCAATGTGGCGATCATCTTCAAATGTTTGAGGGTCCTCCGGCTATAACTCGCTCCCACTGGGATAGTTATACTTATTTCCAATCACTTGCTCAATGCCTCCACTACCGTTTGCCCCAACCTGCTGCCATAATCTCTACCCTACCACCTGCTACCGCAACACCTCACCCCTCCCACACTAGTTATCGTAGCCTCCTCCCTCACCCCACTACCTGCTAAAGTAGCTCCCTGTCCGTTCCCACTTGTTGCCGTAGGCCACTTCCTCAAATCCCCTGCTGTCAACCAACTACAGGCTGCTGTCCAGCCACCCTTCACTGCAATGTAACTTCAGCCCATCCCACTGCCGTCGGAATCCCCTCCGGCACAGCCAGTTACTGCTGCCAGCTCCAACCAGCCCTCCCACCTATTGTCCAGTCGTCGCGCATCCCCCTCATCATCGTCTTAATGTGTTATTTATGTTTGTTGTCTTTTTTTTTTGCTGTTTGAAGAGTCGTTGTTGTAAGCTATTAGAATTTAAATAATGATAATATTTCATTTCTATTGTGGTTTGTATTAACTCGGGTATCAATTGCTATCAAAGTTAGCCTAGCTCTAGTCATATCCTAGGGTTTCCTAATATCTACCTTACCCCTCCACCAAAAATTGCCTTTGCTATTACGAAACTATAGCCAAAACTTTGACAAAACCATAAATCATTTTTTTCACTCTCTTTCACCTCCCACTCCAAACCCTAACTATGCTACCAAGAAGATGCATGTCCGAGCCTACCCGGGAAGAGATGCAGCTAGAGATCCGCCGACTTCAACGGAGATTGACGAACATTGAGGTTGACAGCCAGGAGGGACTTACCCTCGATGGTGACAGAGAAATTAGAAGAGGAGAAATAGCAAAAATTTTAGCCCCTTCCATAGGGAGAATTTTAGTGATGAAGATAAAAGGCCATGAGGTTTCAAAATCCAGTATTAGAGGAGGCCTAGAGAGGAGACATTAGTTGGAGAACATAAAGACTACGAAATCAAAGTGGATCTACCAGAGTTTGAGGGTGGTAAGGGTCCAGATGAATTTATTGATTGGCTACAACTTGTTTAATTTATCTTCGAATATAAAGATGTGTCAGAGGATAAACGGGTAAAATTAACTGCTATCAAGTTGAAAAACAACGCCTCTTTGTGGTGTGAGAACTTATAGTGGTAGAGAAAAAGAGGTGGCAACAATAAGATTACTAATTGGGAGAAGATGAAAAAATAAACAATGCAAAAGAAGTACATTCCAACTCATTACCGTCAGGACTTGTTTTTGAAGCTCCACCACCTGCAACAGCGAGACTTTTTGATGGACGAGTTCACAACTTAGTTCGACCACTTACAATAGATGAAATGCGGGTCGAACGAGCTGGAGGAGCACACTGTAACCCAATGCCCTGGGGGACTGAAGCCCGTTATTAGCAATGTGATATACTTGTAGCCTTATTGGTCACTTAGGGATGTTCAGACCTTAGCATTGAAAGTGGAAAGGTAGTAGAACTAGAGCAAGCAACCACGCACAGTTGGAGACACCAACAAGGGCACTCCTTAGAGAGTTTAGAAATTTGGTTTGGATAAGGATAGAGCAACCCCCAGTGAGAAAAAGTCTGAGAAGAGTAGCACGACTACTATAGTCTCAGATAGACAATGCTTCAAATGCCATAAATTTGGGTTTATTTTCTCTAGTTGCTCGACGAGGAGAGTTTTATCCTTTGTTGAGCAGGGCGAACTGAAGGAGATTAGCAACGAGGAGAAAATTGAAGAGCAAGATGAGTTGTATCATCTGCCACCGGATGAAGGTATGACACTCGTGGTTTAAAGGGTCCTATAAACCGAGGATACGAGGTATTTGCAGTGATTTAATCACAATATATTCTACATCAGTTACACCATGAACGAGAAGGTATGCAATCTCATCATCGATGGAGAAAACAGTAAGAATGTGGCATCTACATAGATGGTGGAGAAATTGGGACTTATGACTCAGAGCACACTCAACCATTTTCTCCGATTTTCTCCGATGTGGTTGAAGAAGAACAAGGTCAACATTGACTGAAGGTGCTTAGTGAGTTTTTGATTGAGAGCCAGTTGCAAGATCAGGTGTAGTGCGACGTGGTCCCCATAAATGTCTTCCACCTTTTTTTGGGGAGACCATGATAATTTGATCAGTGGACTCAGCATGACGGATTCAGAAACACATATTCCTTCACTAAGGATGGGAAGTCTGTAGTTCTTCCTTCGGTGAAACACAAGATTACTGGCTCGCTTGTCAGCAGAGCAGCGTCGGTGGGACCTGTTTTGGTGATGACAGGGGATTATAGGAGTGAGACATCAGCTCAAGACAAGGGATAGGCACGACAGAGGACATTTCAGGATATCACGGTCGATACCTTACTACTAGCGCCACCACCGTGCGGGGAGGTTCAGGTTACCCCCAGTTCAGATCTGGTTAAGTCGGTCGTGGATTACATTGGAACAATGTGCATTCTCATATGTAACTCATGTACGTGTCTACAACACATACAACAACATATAAAACATATAAAAGAAAAGTTATGTAAGGTCGGAAATTATGATTGTTTTATAAAATATTTATTTTATTCATTCATGTGTAATCATAAATATATTCATAAGAATCATCAATCTGATCATAAGAATATTACTTGTAATTGTATAAGCCTCATATATTTTCATATCATAGGTTGTCACCTAGTCCAGAGGTTACATCAACCATTAATAAAAATGGGGTCTCTACCAACATAGTAGTTATCAATAGTCTATCTGATATTAATGGTTCCCTACATTTCATCATCGTCTAATCTCAACGGTTCTCGAAGTTTCGTCTCCGTCTGAATGCCAAGGGTAGGGAATCTCATCGTTCCCAATCATCCTTATTAACAAGTATACATATGATAGCATACCTATAAATTCACTTACGATATTTCATAAATCATAATCCCTGTAAAAAATTTTCATAATAGACATTTCATATATCGTATGCTTGAATCAGAGTAAACGAATACCTATAAACAATGATTTCATAGACATATTCTTCAAATTCATAACATAGTAAAATCATAGGTATCTAAAGAGATAAATTAAGTTTGCTTTCATACAATTTATGCAAATATTCATTCATAATTTGGGGTATATTTTAAAATTGCCAAAGTTTTCATCTGATTTTTCAAAATTGGGTGTGAGACAATATATGATTATTGCTCATTTATTTAGAGATATTAAGTCACGTGATGAAATAAAAATTAAACTATTGTTGCTCTGTGTGGTATTGAGGTCGAATTTTGGTCGATGGCCAATGTAATTTGTGAAGGTGTGTGGCTTAGACATCTCTTAGTAAATTTACAAATTTTCACTTGGAATTTTTGATAATGAGGTGTGTCAATCAAGCTACCATTTGCATTACTGAGAATTCTTTTCACCATGATCAAACTAAGCATAAAACTAAGCGCACTGAGATTAGTAGAGATTTAATAAAGGGAAACATTAAATAAGAAATTATTCAAATTAGATACAATCTAGTAAAACAGCAAACTGAGGATATCTTTACTAAAGTTCCTAACCAATTACAATTTGATAGTCTGATTTTCAAGTATGAATGATCACCATCTTTTCCCAACGACTCCTTTGCTAGCCTCCTGTTAACTGCTCCTCCATCGGCTTTACAACTTGCCAGTTATCCTGTCATCTGCTATCTGCCGGCTTTTCTCTTGACGTGGGAAATAATTATTTGCTGCATTCATTCCTTAAATCATTGTAAATAATTATATTAATTTCATTTACATGTTTCTTCCTTTATCATGTTGGTTATGACATCGTTTTATTTCTTTGCTTTTTTATCATAGAATCGCAACATAGGCTCTAATATTGTATTACTTCTTGTTAGAATAAGAGAAAGAACTATTGTTCTCCTTTTCTTTAAGTCTTTTGAATCTATTAATGATTTCAGAATTTAAAATTTCTAGTATTAGCTATATCATCCCTGATTTTGAGTAGGAGGATTTACATACATATCGACTATCTAGATTATAATATTTAGTTATACAACACTCATCTTTAAATCACTTCAAAACTAATATCAATCATAACTTTTCTTAAGTGAAATACATGTGTTCATGCATATATTTTGATGTGATTGAATCATTAAGCTGTTATATAATTAAATATCTAAGTTTAGATTTTAGATATGTAAATATATAAAAATTATGTGGTATGCATGTAAACACCTCTTTTGCTTAGACGTCTCTATTAAACTTCTACCCAAACTATCTAACGCCAATTTATACAACCTTTTTTGTTTATTTTTTGTAAATTTCTCATCAGGTACCATGTCCCTCTATCTTGGTTCAAGCCTACTGGTAATGTTCTTGTTATTTTTGAAGAAAAAGGCGGAGATCCTACAAAAATTACATTCTCAAGACGGCGGGTCTCCAATATATGCAGTTTTGTATCTGAGGATTATCCTTTTGTAGACCTGGAAAATTGGGAAAATGCAATCAGGTCCACAAGTGATGGCAGAGCAACTCTCCATTTAGCCTGCCCTGCAAGCACCTCTATTTCCTCTATAAGGTTTGCCAGCTACGGAAATCCAAGTGGTGTATGTGGATCCTATCAACAAGGAATATGTCATCATCCCGCTTCTACTCTTATCGTTGAAAGGGTAAATCCTTTCTGTTCAATACACACAAGTTTTGATATTAATCTTGTTTCATGTTGCAAGGTATTTTATCTCAACAAATCAGCATATCAATATGTGAAGCACAAAGAAAGTACTAATCACTGCATCAATATAATGGTTACAATTTAACCCTATATGTTTTGCTCAATTGTCATAAAACTCGGTTGAATTTTGGCCTGATCAAGTTGGAGTAACTTTGCATTCTATCAAATATTTCAAGCTTAGATTGAAAATGCATGCTCGCAAATATGCACTCTATTCTGCCTCTAAATATTGTATCTATAGACGCATGAATTTATATAAGCATGCATGTAATCTTATAAATTGATCGAAACTTTAAGTCAATCAGAGAAACTTTGGTTTGATATTAGTAACTACATTTTAAATCAAATATGGTTACAATCCTGATTTGATTCTCCAACCTGAACAAGAATGTTTTGAGATCGAAACGAGTCGTTTCATGCGCTGCTTTGTGAATTAGTCATTCCTACATGTTTTCAGTAACCTTATTCTCAGAGCAAGAGACACCAATTAAAGCAATCTACATATGATAAACAACACCTCAAATTTCTTGGTAACTTATAATTACAAGTTTACACTATTGCTTCCTCTTATCTGATTTCTACATTTATAATTGTGGCAGGTCTGTCTGCAAAAGACACAGTGCACCATCCCCTTCTTAGAAGGTGACTTTTCTAAAGTTTTCTGCCCTGGAATGACTAAATCTTTGGCAGTTGAAGCGGTGTGTAGCTAGTGGGATTTGTTCTCTATTGAGTTTATTTCCCATGGTGGTATTATTCTTCAACCATACCACTTGTTATCAATTTATATTGAACAGCAAGCAGACTGTCCAGGGTCATCATATTTTTCCATTGTTGATCTATTTTGTTATTTTTTAAACGAGAATAAGCTTTAAATTTGCGAGTAAAACTTTAGTCCAAACGCTGTGGATTGAAGTATAATTTTGAGTTTTTTTAGTTTGGTATTTATTGAAATCAATCCAAAATGTATTAATATTTTTAATTTCAAGATTTTGGCCACTAACTGAAGTATTTCAGGTGAAATTTCAGATAAATTCAGATTTCTAAAAGAGAAGCAATTATGGTCATTAGATCATGTTGAATAAAAAAATATTGTTTAGTTATGTGATTGTTCAAATGTCTTTTAACTAGATTCCAGATGGAATGGTGGTAATTTTTTTTTAGCTTATCCTGCATGGAATATGTTTTGCTTGAAACTGCATATGAGGCAATTGTGTTTGTATTGGTCCCATTTACAGCATATTGTCACACTCCGCCATCTTCTAGAAATTGGCAAGACAAACCATGGGATGAATGATTCTTGAGAAGACCAGATGGATGAGAGAAATCCATATAACTCTAGAAGATTCCTCCTCATTCTAGAGAATGGTAGAAGGAAATTCTCTAGGGATAACTCAAGAATAACCTAGAAGGATTTAGGGTCATGAATCTAATTAAAAGAATAGTGTAAAATTCTCTAGAAATTAGGTTTTTCTAGAATATTCTCTTGAACTTGAAGGGGACTATCAATAGGAGTCATTACCCTCATTGTAACTATCGAAGGTTCCAAGCATTCAAGTTTTATAATCTCTCTTTCTTAGTGAAGTGTTCTTCTCCAATATTATTCCATATTCTTATTTGTTGTGTGCTTACACGTCTAGGAGTTGCGAGAGTTAGGCTGATTTAGTGTCGAGGAAGAGTGTTAAAGCCGCATGGATGACTTGAGATAAGTTAGGGTCTGTTTGGCGCAGCTGCTGCGCTGCCCTAGGAAGCTATTGCAGGAAAACAGTTGCAGGGAAGCTGGCTGTCTGTTTGGTGCAGCTGTGTGAAAATAGCTGCAGAGCAGCTGTTTCTGGAAAAATGATAATTTTGTCCTTGTTTGTTAAAATGTTTAAAAGAGGAATGTAACAGTGAAATTTTTTATACTCTAAAAGCAAAATTTATAATGTAATAAATTAGTAAAACTTCAACTGTGTTAATTATGTAATAAATTATATTATTGGGTAATTAGTTATTGATAGTTATGTAATAAATTTATAGGATTGATTATTATATTTTAAAATATTTTCTTGTCAATTTCTTCTAGATCACTTTTTGTATGTTGCAAATTATTGATTCAGCTTTCGTTCTTATAGTGGAAGTAAATTAGGTTCCCCCACTACCTCTGACTTCACTGCTCAACTTCCGCTTATTTCACTTGATCCCTATCAATTTATTTTAGTATCATGTCAATATGCCTAATTTTAACTAATGAGGTGAATAGTAGAAGGCCAACAGTAAACTCATATTTTAATCGTCTGTATTATACACATATATATATATATATATGGTGAGATTTACTTGTATGCCATTTAATTTTTTTGTAATATAAAACTTATCTATTTTTATGGTGCAATTAAATTATAAAAAAATCAACTATTCATCATTGATATAAATTCTATTTTTTGCGAACTTTCGATAATTGGTTAATATTATTCTAAATTAAAAAATATATATATAATGGGTAGTATTTGTATAAATATGCATGATTTTGATGTGTTTTGAAGTTAGCAATACATAATCTTAATGTTTGTTGCCTATCAATGTGAAAGCATAGCTAATGCTTTATTAACTATTTTTCAAAGGTACAATGTCATAATGAATATTTTGATAAATTTTTAATTCAAAAGTTTGCATGATGAATATCAGTTAGTTTTTAAGGCCTATATAATAGCTAAGTTTTATAGACACTTTAATTAAATCATGTTAAGAACTCAACCATAACATTAAATCTTTAGAATGATTTTGGTTTTTGAGTGACAATTATTTTATTTTTGAAGGAAAATTACATAACTCTATTGGATTTAGATAGCTCACACCTAAACTTTCATTTTCACACTTAGCACTTTACATGTTGATGAAAAGATGTATTTGACTATTAAAATGTAATAATGAGTGTTACTTTCATATGATATGATGTTCGTAATTATCAAAGTCTATGTGTGAGATAGGTAAATAAAACAGTTTTGGGAGCTATGTATGTAAAAGCCCCCCTTTTTTTTTATTCTCTAAAAATTTATAGACTTAATGTTTTTTTTTTTTTATTCTCTAAAAATTTATAGACTTAATGATAATAAATATTTAAAATTGTTTCAATAATATTACTTGGAATACATGCTTTCATCTAGTGCTTATGTTATTAGAATATTAAAAGGCTCACAATATACAAATGATTCTTTAATGTACCCAAATAGGCATTTTAAAAGCTCTTGAATAAGGCTTAAAGCTTGATTATCCAGCTTATTAATTAATTTGAGCTCCATTTTATTGATGGTGATTGTGTGTTTTTGTAGGAGCCATTAGAATTTTAAATTTTCCCAATTATGATCGAATACAACATCAGGAATAATATATCACCTTATGGGATGATAATATTACTTGACGATGAATCCAATCGTGAAGTAAATGTTTGATTACTCTGTGGGGTTCTGTGCCAAAAGTCTTCTTCCATTCTCAAAAGATTAGATAAGATTTATTTTAATTTTAAAGTATGATATTCCTAAAGAAGTAATCCTCTTTAGTTAATTACATCCCAAAGAAAATAACTCTCAATTAAAATAATAGCAATTATTTTATACATATCATAATGACAAATCTCAATATTGCAATTTAAATTTTGAAAAGGGAATATCTCAATTTTGGAATAGTTCTTGCCATAAGCTAACAAATGAGGAATAAAGAGCACCAAATAATTGGAGGTTGAGGGTTACTCTAGTCTATCCTATAATTTATTTTTTTATAAATTATAAATTAGAAATTGAAATTAAATTCTTGTTTGAGTCGTTAATTCTAAGAAGTTAAAACTTTTATTCGATGGAATATGTCATTAAAACTAAGAGATGTTAGTCCCATTAAAAAGACCGACATCATCATCTTAAAACCTAAACTAAGGTAACTTATCGATAATGTCAAGGGCTCAAACCTAAACTAAGAAAATGGAACTCATGGATTACACTCTCATTGAGGAGTGAAACAGCCCAACTCTCTTAGACTTACAATTCGTCGGGAAGGGGTTGTTAACTAACACCTCCTTCGCGTAAAATTCTTGTCATTAGTCACATGAATGTTGAGAGTGGTGGGCTATCGTAATTTTAAAAGATATATTGAGACTTGCTGCTCGATCTTAAAGATTGAGTGGTCTGATGTGCCTAACTAATATAATTATTTTGTGTTTAAAAATTTAAAATAATATTGACTTAGTATGATGTTGACACGATTAACTCAATATAAAAATGATAGACTTAATCAATTAGATTTGATTGATTAATCGAGGAATAATTTAATTAATTTAATTTTTAATTATTATTGTGATTTTGATGGAGTAAAGATTATAAAAAAAATTATGAAGTTTTTAAATAATGCATACTTTAAAGGTCTTAAAGTCAAGTCACCCATGAATGGTAGACTTTACCTCATAAGGGAGGTGATCCTCATAGATTAGATTATCCCTTTCACTGCAATGCATGAAAGCCTTAAAAAAAATGTGAGCATCAATATGAATGAGCTCCTGCGCCTAGACTATTTCTAGAATTGCGGCGGCTTGTAGGTTCTTACACTCCAAATGCTTTTGTTCCCATCATCAACATGGTTCAAGTCCTCGATGCATCACCAGGAATCATTGGATAGTGGCTCACTCTCGCTCATTCCATGCCCCCCGGCCTTTAGCCTAGTTATGTTGAATTTATTTAGAATAAAAATAATATAAAACTCTACAAAGCAGAGTTAAACAGAGAAATTAAAGACACTTTAACAAGCCATAAGTAAAGCATGCATGTGTACTTAGCGTTTTGAGACATCAAGCCTCTTGCTTTAGTATGCCCTTCTTATGCTTGAGAGCACTGGTTAACAAACACCTACAGAGAATATGATTAGTTTAAATTATTTTAATTTGGGCTTCTTGTATTTGTAACTTAGCATGGCCACCTGGATAAAATAGAGTTAGATTCCTCAAGTATAATCTACACGAAATAACCATCCTAAGTGTGCATGTATGACGAAAAAGAGCACAAACACAAACTCTTTCAATCAACACAATCACGACAGAGTCATCCTGCAAAGCCAACTTGAAGAGGTCTCCAATGGGTGAATTGTGTGCAACCGCCCTAGCATTGTGACACATCTTGCACCCTCCCATATCTTTTACCAACTCTATCTTACCTCCAAAGGGAAACCCATACAATGTTGTTATCGTTGTCAATGCCCTATTCGCCAATTATCATATTGGAAGGATACTAACAAACTCCAAGAGCTCGGTGAACATCATCTTCAAGTAGGTATTTGACAAGATGAGCTTGAGCACCTCCCATCTTTCGGCCACGCCCAGGCTACTCTACAAGTTCCCTGGAGAAAGAGAAAGAAAGCACTAGGAATCCTCGACCTGTTAGTCGCTTGTGGAGAAAATGAGAAACAGTTCACTAACATGGCAGATTTCCTTGTAGCCAACTCTCCACCTACATACAACATTATCTTCTGTCTCTTTTTACTCAATTTTTTTTGTATTGTCACCTAATGTATTATGTAGTGAAATTTTTGGGCAATGAGGCGTTAATAACTATCCAAGGTGACTTGGAGCAATGTTGTACTTTCTCTCCTTGCAGTCAGAAGCATTCACCAAGAACTACTTGAACTTGACATCCGACGAGGGGAAGGCCTTATGTCCAGTGAGACCACCCAAAAGGTTCCTACAGATGACGATGAATATGTCAATAATTTTTCCTTACTGAGTGATGCTTTTGATGTATGTCAAAAGGATGAGACGATTAAGACTTTTAATTCACCTAGACAACTTTTCTTGGTCAGCTGTTGAGATTCATGGGGTGTCAATCAATGTTGCCCATCATCGTCTGAATGTCAATCCAACGGTCTGACAAATGAAG